GCCTTACCGATCCGCGCCTTCACATCTGCATCAGATCCACCCTGTTCATCAATGATGCTGCCCAGATATGTAAAGGTTTCTACATCTCCCAAATCTTCTCAGTCAATTGTGACTGGATTGGTGCGTGCTGTGTATGCCTAGTATTGAGAGAAGAGTGATACCCCTGTAGTTATCACACTTGCTGAGATCGCCTTTCTTCGGTATTTTGATCAGAAGTCTTTCTTTCCAGTCTGTTGGCACTTGTTCCTCATCCCAAATCTTATTGAAGAGAATGTGGAGTATCATTGCAGTTGCCGCTACGTCTGCTTTTAGTGCCTCTGCTGGAATGTTGTCCGGTCCTGCTGCTTTGCTACTCTTGACTTGTCTGATGAACATGCTGATTTCTTCAATTGTTGGTGGGCCAACATTGATTGGGAGGTCCGTGGATGCTGCTTCGATGTTGGGTGGATTCAGCGGAGCTGGTCGTTTCAAGAGTTCTTTGAAGTGTTCTACCCACCTGTTTTGTTGCTCTTCAATGTTGGTGATTACCTCGTCTTCTTTCTTTTCACTGGTCGTCCTGGTTTGCGGCGATTTCCAGAGAGTTTCTTTGTCGTGTCATACAATTGTCTCATGTTTCCTTCTCTTGCAGCCTTTTCCGCCGTCGTTGCTAAATCTTCCACATATTTACGTTTGTCGGTTCTGATGCTCCTCTTCACTTGTTTGTTTACTTCTGTGTATTTAGCTTAGGCCTTGGCTTTTTTCGCTCTTGTTCGACTGGTATTGATTGCTGCCTTCTTGTTCCTCCTTTCTTGAATCTTATCCAGTGTATCAACAGTGATCCATTCTTGTGGTGGTGCTTCTTGTCAGCCAGGACCTCATGACATGTTGAAGTGATTGCCTCTTTGATCCCCTTCCAGTTGTTCTCCACAGTAGTTCTTTCTCCATTGAGTAGATCATGAAAGGCGTGGAACTTGTTGCTGAGGACTATCTTGAATTTGTTGAGTTTGTCAGTATCCTGAAGAAAGGCCGTATTGAACTTTTGTGATAATGTCCGCCCCGTTTTCCATTACTTCTTGAGTTTCAATTTCATCTTGGCAACCAGCAAGTGATGATCTGATGATATATCAGCTCCTCTCTTGGTTCTCACGTCCTCTGTAGTCCTCCTGAACTTTTTGTTGATGCAAATATGGTCGATTTGGTTTTGCGTAGTGTGATCCGGTGAAGTCCATGTGGTTTTGTGAATGCGTTTATGTGGGAATATGGTGCCGCCTATGACCAGTTTATTGAAGGCACATACGTTTGCAAATCTCTCACCATTTTCGCTCCTTTCTCCCAGTCCGTGTTGTCCCATGATTTCTTCATATCCAGTGTTGTTCATTCCAACCTTGGCATTTAAATCTCTCATCAGGATGATCAAATTTTTTTGTTGGGCAGCTTATCGTGGAATTAATCTTTAGCGTCTTCATTAAGTCGTTGGTAGAAGCACAGAATTGGGTGACGTTCATTGTAATGCCCTCTTTCTTTGTTTTGAAGGAGGCTTTGATGATCCTTGGTCCGTGAGATTTTCATCCTATAAGTGCATTTTGTGCTTGTTTGGACAGCATCAATGCAACTCCTTGTGCATGTGGTGCATTTTCTTCTTCATGGCTGGAGTATAACAGGAGCTCTCCTGTAGTTAGTCGTTGTTGTCCAACTTGTGTCCAATGTGTTTCACTGATCCCAAGTACCTCTAGGTTGTATCTTCTCATTTCTGCAGCAATTTGGAAGGCTCTTCCGGTGTCCCACATTGTACGAACATTCCATGTACCTAAATAAATGGTCGCTCTGGTTGTCAGAAGGGGCATCGGCCTCGTAACTTCCGAAGGAATTCGGCTTTCATCATGAGGTGTCATAATTCTTCTAAATGAAGACCTGATTCCCAGGACAGAGTTTGAAAGGTTTGAATAATTATTTCTGGTTAGCGTTTTTTTAGCGAGTTAGTTTTCTACGGGATGGGGACGCTAACCCATGCTCAACCCTCCTCTTTTATCCGGGCTTGGGACCGGCAGTAGCCCCCTGAGGGACTCCATGCGGAGTTATATCACTAGCCTCTTATACATTAAAAGGTTTTCTAAACCAATTACAAAACTTTCATACTGACAAATGTATTACAAAAGATGAATAATTGTATGATATATTTATGAAAGTCTAACAATACTTATCAACATTCATAATCACAATTGAAATATCTTGTGTAGAACAGTATTTAAGAGTTTGATATTTATTTTAAGTGTTTAATGTTTTTCAAAACTTATGAACTTGAATGGTTCGATTTGAAATATGGTTTATATTAATCTCGTTATGAAGTATTTACCAAGAAGGACCTGACATACATGACATTGATCACTACATAGTGATCAATCAATTGTAAATATATCTCAGTTCTACAGGAGGTCATTCGCGGCCTGGATAGCTCAGGTCCACGGTTTTCTGTTGACTATCTCCAATTACCATCTTATCTCAACATAGTGAACACAATGTCGAGTCACCTAGACTAGTGGGATACATTGCAACTTGGTCGATAGGATTCGATCTGCACTAAGAAGGACCTGACTGATATAAAGTTGATCGCCACCCAGTGATAAATCAATAGTAAAAGTATTTACTTCTCTTAGAATCTCAGTCAGTTATTGACATTCTATTTTGCTATATCATTTTATATTCATTGAGTTTATTAATAAATTTGAAAATGGTTCTAGTCGAATGATCATTAAATATCTCTTTAAATCTGATCAATCAATATACTTCTGTAGAGAAACAAAACTCATCCTGTGGTTCTTTCATATGAGGCTTTGGTAAATGAAATGACTTAGTTTACAAAGATTTCACTCCTCTCAAAACCTTATTATTTAAATGTTCAATAATTTCAGTATACAGTTTCCATTATTATCATTATATCTATTAATATGATAAAAAATTTTGTTATTTCAGGCATTATTACAAACGTATGATGTAATAGCTCAAGAAGTTTATGGCCCTGAAGCTATTCGTGTCACTCCACCACCATTGTCATCATTTTTAAATGGTGATGAAGATGATCATATGGAATCAGATACAGATCAACCACAAGTAACACGTGTACGTTTGGTACAATTTCAAAAGAATACAGATGAACCAATGGTAAGAAATTAAAAGAGATAATTTTCATTTATAAACAAATCCAATTTTTGAAACTAATAAAACTCGCTGGTGGAGAAGCTTTGTAGCTCAGGTGGATGATTTTGATAGAGTTTTGTTCTCTGAGCTGGATAGTTTGGTCGCGAAGCTTTCATCGTTCTTCTGGACGACATCATCAGCACAAACTTCAACGTCAAGGTGTACAGGACAAACTGTGAAACGCATATAGCGAAATTCAAAAACTTCACTTCTATCTGAAGTTTGTGCTGAAATATTCATTCTAGTCATAACTAAGCATTAGGGTGCGCCACTGCCCGTGTGCTCAAACCGGAACTAATGATTTCCTTAAGGGGCCACAACCGGAGCCTTCGACCCAAAGATTTGATCCATAAAGCGATGGAGAGACGTCAGGAGATGCAGTCTCATGGTAGCCAGTGACCAACAATAGGATCCTTCAGGATACTGGAGCCCATGTGCACCATTGGTTTGAAATCAGGGTTTTCTAACTTTCCTAGGTGAATCCACCATATTCACCAACCCGGTTAAAGTGCCGGACATACAATTTCGTAAATAGCATCCTCGCCGTGAGAAGGCAGTGAGTAGGATTTCGCTAGCAGTGGTTGTGTGCACGTGGCCTTGTGAGAGCATTTCAAGAGGACGAGCTGAGTTTCCCCACTCTCGGCCGTATCAGAGCATAAATCGAATGATTTATGCGGCTCATATCTATTTGGTGTCTCCTTGTACCAATGTTTATATGTTTAGATAAATAAATCAATAAACACATTAGGGTTAAGTAATGGCTATTCATAAATTATGCATTTCACAAATACATGTCGACTAAAAAGATTTCAAAAGATTTTAACACTGAACTTTTACCACTCAAAATATCTAGTTTTATGGATTTTAAGTTCGATATATCGAAGCTGAAAGTTCCCATTTTTCAACACTCTTTCGATAAAAAATAAATCATTGATCTTGACTCATAATTTAGCAGTTATATAATATACCATTGTGGGCCAGGGTAATTTTACATTGGTTTTCAGGAGAACCAGACACCATCCAAACTTTCACGTGGCAACCCAAACAGTACAGCTCAACCCCGTTTAGCAGGAGAAACAGATACCGTATAGGCTTTAACTCTACAATCTGAATAGTACAGCACAATCCTGTGGCGCAGCCACACAGGTATCAAGCACCCTGGCTTCAGCACCGGGTTGGGCACCCGGGCAGTATCACAGCCCTCACACATATCGAATGAGATTTATGTGGCGCATATGTGTTTGGTGCCTCCTTGTACCAATATCTATGTGTTAAAATAAATAAATAAATAAGTAAATAAATGATCTTGCATTAGCAACTTCGTCAAACGTGTAGTCACTAACTAACTTTATAAAACTTTTTTTAATTAGTACTTCATGACAAGTTTTATTTCACGTTTAAAAATGTTTAGAAAAAAAAAGCATAAGTGTTAGGTCCCGATAAACATGATGATTGGTAACTTTGAAATCCTTTTATGGACCAATACTAAACGTATATTTTTATCGTATAATTATTAAATAACTAAACAATTCATAATCATATTCCTCTTATTATAAACTTTATTTTGACCCAAGGACTACTGTTATACGACTTACTGTTATACCCAGTCTATTAATTATTATCTCCCACATTCACAGCTACATTTGGCCAAATTTTGTACAAATGTTATTTTCTATTTTATGCTACGCTGTGGTCTGTTTGATTAGTATATAAACTCAGTATGTTTGAAATATAGTGATTCATATTGCAGAGACTGAGACTGGTGTTCTGGACTTAACTGACTGGGCTAGGCGGCAAGCAGGACCAATCAGGACTCTAGGCTGCTCGCACGTGTTTTACGCGTCCTTGGTCCGATCGACTATTCGCTGCTTCTGATTGGCGGCTTTGGGCCATAACAATAAGTTACATTGTCATCTTCAGTAGAGCTTCACAATGTCTGGTCACATTTCAAACAAATATCAATGTTCAATAATGTGATTTGACAATAACATTGATATTTTGAAAGCATAAATTGTACTTCATTTTTTGTAATTTAATATCATACCTATGAAGAAGTTAGTTCTATCACTAAGAGTCCAACATAAGAATAATGACTTATACTTTTGGATCAAGCCAATATCAACACGCCAACATCCGTTTGTATGATCATTTTTCATCATTCAATGGCTAAAATACACACACACACACACACACTTACCTCTACTTCATGTACTTGTTACAGTTACTTCATTGAAATGATTATTATTTCACGATATGATTGAAATGAAAAACCCTTAAATCCCATTTACCACAACTTTTCCATTGATTATTTAAGGTCAATTGTTTTATTTTCCTTCAACAATTTATTTTTCTGTAATTCAAGGTTATGTGAACAATATTTAATCAGTAATATTTGTCCCTACAAGAGCTTTTCTCTCTCTCGAGAGAGAGAGACAGTAAACGTTTTCGTACAGAAACTAGTCCATATTTTTTTACGTGTGTACCAATGAGGGTTTTGGGATTATTTATTACTTGTGTAAATTTTATCATTGTATTAGATTTGTAGTGGAAGTGACCGTAATCATTTGCTCAAACTACCCTTCGAAAGTGAATCCATATCCGTCTTCAACGTTTATGCGAATGGTTGACGGAAATAGTGGTAGGTTAAGCAAAAGCCAGCAAATTAAAACGTAATATCAGTTCATGAAGTTATCGACTGTTAATCCTAGACGTGTTGGTAAGTACGAAACATCTGATTGGCGTCCTTTTGATAACTACATACTTACTTTATGACTTACTTACGGCTGTTACTTCTCGTGGAGGAGCATAAGCCGCCAAACAGCACTCTCCATTCAACCGTCTCCTAGGCAATACGTTCCAGTTCTTTCCTATTCTTATTCATCCTTTTCATATCTGATTCTATTTCCCGACGTAATGTATTCTTTCGCCTTCCTCTTTTCCACTTCCCTTCACGATTCCAAGTGAGGGCTTGTTTCGTGATGCAGTTTGGTGGTTTCCTCAATGTATGTCTCATCCATTTCCATCGTTTTTTTCCTAATTTCCTCTACAACTGGAAGGTGGTTTGTTCTCTCCCACAGTAGGCTGTTGTTGTTGATGGTATCCTGCCCATGGATGTTGATTATCTTGCGTAGACATATGTTTATAAATACTCGTACATTCTTGATGATGGTAGTAGTAGTTCTCCAATTTTGAGCTCCGTATATTAGAACTGTCTTGACGTTGGTATTGTTGATTGTGACTTTGATATTGGTTGATAGTTGTTTTGAGTTCCATAGGCATTGCCTTTCGCGAAATTGTATAGCAATATTCAACTGAATTACAAACCTTCTTCAATTAATTCGTAAAAAATTGTATTTCTTGTTAGTTAATTATAAATTTCCTTTGTATCCATGCTTATGTTTTGAATAATACTATAGGGTATTACATTAAAGCTAAATGAAGAGAATAAGTGTATTGTTGCAAGGATTCTACATGGTGGAATGATACATCGACAAGGTAAGTAATGTAATTACTTTTATGCTCCCTTCAACTGTTCATAAAATTGTACATCTATTCAACTTCTGTTAGGAATCGTGTATTCTTTTCAAATTAACTAATTATTATGAATGTTGAATGGTTTATCTATGAAATTAATTTCTTATGGTTAAGAGCTATCTTGGTATTTTATAGTTAGCATCATCAATTATTCTCACTATAAGCTGGAATATTTTAGAGGTTCATTCATGGTATAAATTGAATACAGTTTGACTTTATTAATTTCATACTAGAAAAAAGAATTTTTTTCCTTAGTATAGAATAACAACTCCGCCTGGAGTCCCTCTGGGGCTACTGCCGGCCTCAAGCTCGGATAAAGGAGGAGGATTGGGCATGGTGTTAGTGACCACATCCCGTATAATCTGTAAATGTAGTTTAAATAAGCGAATAATTATAGCCTTATGACTTTATCTAATTATTCATTTACGGAACAACTAAACATGACTATCTTGGGTCGGTTTGTGATCTCAGTATGATCCAATTGTCTCAGCAAACTCCTTTGCTGGTAGTTGTCATTCACTCACTTATGACTAACTTTGTAGGTAAATTTCTGGAATTCTGTGAAGAAGTCTTGACCAAAGCGATCTAACTCTATTAGGTGTGAGGCACCTACCCACAGAAAATAATCAGAGATGGTTGGGCGATATCACGAAGTGATTAAAGTGAGATGTGCAAACCACTAAATGCCGTTCACCGTTCTATAGGTTAACCTCTCTGTGATAGACTTAGTTAGACCTCTGGTTTGGCCATGCATGCTAGCTGCTAATGAGCCCATAATAGGGTGGGATAACTATCATGTGCTCTCTTGTTTTCAATAGTTGTCTCTTCTTGGTAGGTTCGTGATATTGTTAACGCTCAGTCTCCACAAACTGCCCTTCCATCGACTTTTGTTGTTGATAACAAATGAGAGTTCTTCAATATTCCCTCAATAATGTACTAGCAACCACCCTCTCTAGTTGATGGAAAAAGATTGTTAATCGGTGAATTATCAAGAGGTCTAAAATATATCAAGCGTGCCGGCTAGCTCGAGAAACAAAATAGTGTGGTGAAAACCCATGATCGTGACTCAGACTTCTAAAGTGAAGTGAGAGGGCAGTAACTACCGGACACTAATACGATTATGATCAAAGAATATTCACGAATATGTACCATAGATTTATAACTAAAGATAAAATCATGTTACTGTAGTTAACGAACGCTTGGGTAGAGTTAAGTGATGTATTGTGAAAAGTTACAAAGTATTTACATAAAGCATATTCATTTCCTTCAATCTTTCATTTACATCTTTTGGTGTGTTCTTCACTCTGAACCATCTTTTCGTCTAATCTCCACGTGTTATACGAACCCTATGTTTTCAATGCACTGAAACTCTTCACTCCATCTGACAATTCTTGCAACTTGAATGCCATACACTACTTACAAACAATCTTGTGAGTAGTGTACAACTGCATTACAATTGATTAACACAGTTTGAAACAACTATCTAATTCTAGTTTATTGGCTTCTATGAAAAGAGAAAAACCAAAGTTATTTCTTTTGATCACACATTAAATTTCAGTTGACAAGTGTAATTGAATGCATATACAAGGTACTATGAAATCTATACCAGACACTGATTTTCAGTATAACTTCTCTAGGAATAGAAAATAAGGTTGCTTACACTTGCTGTTATAATATTCGTTCCTGATGTTTAGGTTTTGTTAATGTCTATAGTAAATTTAAAGTTTTCTTGGCATAGTTATGTAACATTAGATGAATAAGTTTTACCAATTCAGTGACAAATATTAACACTATTGGATGTCGGCTCAGTGGTCTAATTGGTCAAGCACGAGGCGCGAGACTGATAGGTCCTGGGTTCGAGTCTTGTGGAGTGCGAGATCGTGGGTGTGCATTGCTGAGGAGTCCCATACTAGGACGAAACGGCCGTCCAGTGCTTCCAGATTTCCCCCTTCTGATGACAAATATTTGTTAATTTCATCCTGTTTCATCGATATTAACCATATCTTACATGATACATTTATCAATCATTCAAGTGTACTGTCTTATGACACTACTATTCTTTAATAAGTTGCTTTAAGTTGATACTTTGTAGATATTTTGATAAAACACAGTGAGATTATGGTCTCCAGTTTCGTAAGGAATCCTGATAGTCATGAAATTTACAAATCAAAAGTGGTACACGTATACAACTAGAGAGTATCAGAATGAATTATCCTGATAATTCTTCTGATTAGTCGTTGATTACTAACCAATGTTATATTTGTCAAGTCTTTAGTGTTAACTAAATTGTATCGGTCAAGTTTTAATGTAACTCTTACTCCATGTGACTCGACTTCAATGCACAATCTTCACAATCTATTTTGTTTACATAATAATATACTAAATTACAATTTATCTCTCAATAAATACAGGTACTTTACATGTTGGAGATGAGCTACGTGAAATTAATAATGAACCGGTAGCTGGTCGATCTGTTGAACATTTACAACGTTTATTGGTTAGTTTACAGAAAGTACTTTGAGAAATATTTTATGGTCAAGAATAACACATAAAAATGTCTATGACTGTATTGTATCAATTAACTTATGGATAATAATAGACGCCGTGTTTTATTTAATTCTAGCTTCACAATAACTAACTTTGAAGCATTTCGGACTGAACATACAATAATTTGATGTTATCTCCTTATTACTTACGCCTTTTACTCCTCGTGAAGGAGCATAGACCGCTCACCAGCATTCTCCATCCAACCCTGTCCTGGGCGATCGTTTCCAACTCCTTCCAGTTGTTATTCATCTTTTTCATATTCGCTTCTATTCCCCGACGTAATGTGTTCTTTGGCATTCCTCTTTTCCACTTCTCTTTAGGACTGGAAGTCAGGGCTTGCCTCATGATGTAGTTTGATGATTTGCGTAAAAAACGCTAACCAGAAAGCTTGTACTTCTAATCAAATATACAACTTATTACTACGAACATCCAATGTCTTAAGTAATATATGGCGTTAAGTAACTGAATATGTTCATATTATTCAGCATAAATATTTGCTTCTTCTATCTTTATGATAAGAAAACGGGATTATGTACAATGAAAAGAAAATTAGTCTAGTTTATAGTTATTTATCCCATTAATGATGAAAACTTGTTATACAAATAGTAAATTATGATTGCTTCATATATACAGTACAAGAAGCTGAAATCAACTATAGAATGGATAACGATGATGATTATCATTATTCATTGCCTTTATGGAAGTATATTAGTCAATTCACTACTTATTTTACAAGATTAAGTATTTAACTTGTAAGAAATACAATACATTGTACTACATAATATGCCTACTAGTAAGCTGTAAACTTAAGCCCATATATCACTTTCTTTTCTCCAGTAGCGTGAACAGATAGCAGAAGTTAGGAAGTTTATCAAAACCATCAAGCATTTACAGTAAATGAGGGTAGGTATATAGAATATATTTATGACCCTGAAATTATAGAATCTTCTGTTAAACATAATGAAATCGGTGATAAGATTAAACAGTGATCCCATGAGAACAACAAACCCATAATTAATCGTGGAAAAGATTTGTAGCTTAGGTGGATGATTTTGATGGAGTTTTGTTCAGGTAGAATTTTGTGCTGATGATGTGGTTCAGAAGAATGATGACAGCTCCACGACCAAACCAACCAGCTCAGAGAACAAAACCCCATCGAAAGCATAGCCAATTGTTTGCTAGATTTCTAAAAAGTATTATTTAGGCAAAATGTTTAAAGCATTTCCACTTGATTCGGAAAACTGTTTCAAAGAATATAATCAAGCGCTCAAAATATCTACATTTTTGTTCATTAAACCATTTTATTTACTTATGAGTAATAAGATGTTTTATACTTAATTTTCTATTTGCCATTCTTACTCAAAGCGTAATGCTCGTGGAAATGTGAGTTTGAAAATTATTCCCAGTTATAGAACACATCCATTACAATGTGAAGTAAGTGGTTATATTTAAATTAATGATTAGATATGTAAAATGCATTACGAATATCAAAACTTTCTTTGATTTGTTATAATAAACTTTTCGGCAAGACTATAATTTATGGATGAGTCAATTAGATATAAGATAACGAGTCACAAACTTTTGACGCAAGATTCATCCATCCATTTGAATAAATAGAGTTTTGGTATTATAGCTGATGTCAGTTCGTGATAAAAACCCTAAATCTGATTTCTAACACAAACCATCAATTGTGCATGAGAATTCTAACTGCTTTATAACTGTCATTTAATCCTAATCTGTAGGTGTTCACTCTCAAGTTCACTTCAGTGTCGCTCAAAGGTCGCCCATAAATTATAGTCTCACCATATTCTCTACAATGATGTCGTAATCTGTCTTAAGTAGAGTGATCAAGTTTACAGTTTGTGTTCTTCAAAGCTTTTGATGAATAAGTGAATTTTGAAGTTTTCTTTCTCATATCTTCAGCAAAGGTTGAATGTTATACGTAGAGATAAAAAACAATGGACTTTTAACCAAGTGAAGCATAACAAAGTGAATTGCGGATAATAATATTTTTGTTTTTTTATCTAATAGACTGTATCAATTTGATGTCGTTGACAGTGTTCTTTGTCTATTTAAAATTGCAAGTATTATATATATAATTGATCATTGAGTGAAGACCAGTATCATAACTGCCAAGTGATATAGTACTGATCGGATTCTATTGATCAAACTGCAATGCCACCATTGATTTAAGTGACCCAAAGTTATATAAACTGAGTTGAAATGTCAGAAAATATCCATTATCCAAGATTGTAAATACGCCTTGCTAAAGTGTCATCGAACATGAAACTTAAGCCAAGAGTTTCCTTAATTCTTATCTCAACCGTCTACCAACTCAATAATATGATATATGTATATAAATTCTCGACCGTTGTTGCTACCTTGACGTGGTGGTCTGGCTTGCCTATCGTGATGAAGCAACCGAGCTATACTGGCTGGAACAACCGTTCCTCAAGGTCCTACCATGTCAGAGAGGTCGGTTGAAGAGCGGTAAAACTACAAGCAACAAACCTAAGGTCCGAAGGCGAAGTCGTACTGCTGACTGTACAGACGTGTGACAGCGATGCTACCTTCCCAAATGGAGGAAAGGGGTTAGAAAAGTTCGACCCTAAAAATGCACACCTCGCCTTATCCCACGGATATCCGTCTCTGGCGGTAATGGTCTCAGAAAGTACGGAGCTAACACAAAAATTACTCATAAAAAGGTCGTGTGTGACCGACCTTAAGCTGTTGTCCCTCTTATCCAATTTCCTTTTCAGGCACCTCCAGAACAACCCTTCCATAGTGTGGGCAACCGGGAAGTGATAACCGTCCTCATACCTCTAACAGCACTCAACATCACTGACTGACTAACTGTATATAAATTAAAAATATAATAGATCGATTACTTGGTTATCTTATCTTTTATAGACTACTCAAAACGTAATATACTTTTGAAAATGAATTCATCATTAGACTATTGTGTTATTTCAGAAGGGGTTTTATGGAGATTGTAATAATTACGATAATTGGAATAATAAGTCAATTGATATTGTGTTGTTTCTTTGTTAAGACATTACAGATCACCAAAGAGATTCAGTAGATTATCCCATGACAAATGTTTATCATGAATGAAATGTAGTCGATTAACATTAATGCCAAGATTGGACATGATCATTTCAAATAAATGGAGCATTAGATAAGAATTTAAATATAAATGTTATAATCCAATAAGTAGGTAAATGAATACAGTGACTGGTCATGCAAATGCACCTTGACCAAGAATAACTTAACATTGACAATATTCAGACCTATTATGATTTTGATTGTACTAAATAACAAATAAACTATTCTGCATTATTTCCTTTGTACTATTTACACTTGTGTTCATTTAATGTTAGTTATTTTATTTACTCTGATGAAGTGGCTTACATTCGGTTACAAAACATCGTCAGTAAATGTTATGTCCCGACATGCATAATGTAGGGTAACTTTTGTGATCCATTTATGGATCAATACTATATGTACATTTTCATCGTATAATTGTTGAATAATTAAAGTATGCATATTCATGTCTCTCTTGTCATGAGCTTTATTTTGACCTATGAACTATTATTATACGATTTACCATTCTTGAATTATGACTACCTCCTACATTCACAGCCACTTTCGGCCAAATTTTGTACAAATGTGTATGTTCTATTTTATGGTACGTTGTGGTTTGTTTGATTGGTATATAAACTCAGTATGTTTGAAATATAATGATTCATATTGTAGAGGCTGAGATTGATGTTCTGGACTTAACTGGCTAGGCTAGGCGGAAAGTAGGACCAATCAGGACACTAGACTGCTCATACAGGTTCACGCGTCATTGATTTGATCAATAAGTCACTGCTCTCTAATCGGCGGTCACAAGTTAAAACAGAAATATAATGAAAATATATTTATTATTTCTTGTCATGTTATGTATTAGAATGAATAGACATTTGTCATTTTGACTTTCATTGTTCAGTGTACTTAATAAATAGCTGTGCTTCTAGAGGTAAATATAGATTTTTGAAGGTGAATTGTTACCACACTTATTATCAAATGCATAGGACTGAACTTGTATTAAGCGTTTTTTTAAACTTGGGAATCGGGTACTACAACTCTTTTTTTTCTCTGATTGATCGACTGTGTAATAACTAACATCCTATCTAGTGTCAAATTTTGGTCGACTTTTACAGGAGGTCAGTCACAAATCGAATAGGTAAGTGATGATGCCGTCAAATGAGATAGCGGATGTAATGGGTTCATACTTTGAAATTTACACTAACATGATACTCAAATTCAAAGTTTTCTTCTGATTACCTCCAGTTACGGAAAACTTACTGGAAATTTATGTATAACTATTGAAAACTGAGGTACATTCGGTAGCTGTACGGATTTAGTTTCTAAAATTTTAGGGAAGTTTAAACTCACAGCTTCATATTCATAGAGAGGATCTATGAATCGGTAAGCTTTAATGTCATCTATTATCATGAATGAATGAATGAATAACTAATCAATCTCATAGAATATAAATCTAAAGATTCTCTGAAGTTAGTCATTTCACTCTGTAAAGAAAATGAACTTCAACCGATGAATAAAATTCTTTTGAAAAAAATAAATTTTAAAGCCCCTTAAATTATATATATTTTCTTTTGTTTAGATCTATGTTCGTGCAATGTTTGATTATAGTCCTGAAAATGATAATTTAATACCATGTAGTCAAGCTGGTATACATTTTCATATTGGTGATATATTACAAATTATTAGTAAAGATGATCATAATTGGTGGCAAGTAAGAAATGGATATTCATTATAATCATTTATCCTATACTCATTTAAAATGAAAGCACTGGATGTCCGTTTCGTCCTATTGTGGGACTCCTCGGCAGTGCACAAACTAGTAGGTCCTGAGTTCGAATCCCAGGAATGCCACAATAGGACGGAACGACCATCCAGTGCTTCTAGGTTTTCTATAGTGGTCTAACATCAATCGGTTCATGATCTTACCCATTGAAATTACTATAATATCCACAAAACGTATCTGATATAAAACAATAATAATCTGTAGTTAAAGATCTTAGACATGAATGTGAACAATGTTGAGGTTGAACTCAATGTACTTGGGAGAAATAAAGAAAATCTGTTTAGGAAGCTGTCACACTCCACCTACTGAAATGGTTAACGCATATATATTATGTTTCTCTAATCAAAATCTATCTCCATTAACGATATTTCTTAGTGTAGACACAGTTCGGAAGAAAGCTGGGTACGGTCAAATTAAAACGTAGAATCAGTTCATGAAGCCATGAATATGATTGTGTTCACATTTCTTTAATTCTGACATTGTATTTTGTTAAATTCTTTTCTTGTTATGTCAGTCTAATGTGTAGACAACATATAGACTAATACATTTATCTACCATATCTTACAATGCTAATATGTGTATCTGTCATATAATTTAATTGTTTTTAGTGATACTAAGAAAACCTTTATATAAATTCTTTGTTAGCGATTGAATCTATGACTAATATATTTCTTAACAGTTGTATTCACAAGTTGAACTTAGCTAGACCTAGAAGTACTGGATGGCCTTTTCGTCCTAGTATGAGACTCTTAACCAGTGCTCATCCACAATGCCGCACGCGAGAATCGTGCCCAGGACCTTCAGTCTCGAGCGCGTACACTTAACCTGCAGGCCACCGATCCAGCATCTAAAGGTGTTATTGTCTAACTTCAATCGATCTCACAACCGACACAGTTTATTGTTCAATGATGATCTAGTTTAGAACAACTCGTGAATTCAACTATCAATATACTACAATCTCTACAAATCCCCATACTAACAATATATGTTTCTATATTTGAAGAATGTGTAGATACCTTTTATTCTATGGATTTATGTTCATTGAAAATAGGTTCATTATGATTATTTGTATAATTAAATTGTGTTTTACAATGAAAATACTAAACACTCGTTTCATTCTATTTGAAAGATTTGTCATCTCAATGTATTTGTGACCTCAATGTTAATACAGTCAGATTGATAGTTTAAACCCCGGTACTTATTTCTTCAAATTCTACCATTGAGCTATTGATTCATAGTACTCACTCATTTGTTTAATGGATATAAATGTGTTGATAAAACTTTATGCTATTCCATCTTTTTGATATTTTGTATTGGAATTATTCAGTTCCTGTTGAGATTTATGTACTTTATTTGAAAGCTTTGATTTAACCTGCGAATTACTAGCTTGTAGTGTGTTTAGATTATTGTTGGCAGTAAGGTAATACAAACCCCTACCAATAGTTATAGAGCTATTAAATTTAGACAGACGATCAGTAATTTGTCTATCATATCACCCTTAAATGCTTTGGTACGGCCGAGAGTGAGGAGAGTCAGTTCTCGCTCTCTAAATGCTCTCACATGACCACATGCATACAACTGCTGACAGGGAAGTTCTACTCAATGCCTTCTTGCGGCCACGCTGTTAGTTACGAAATTGAAAGGACAAAAAGCGAATGTCCTGCGCTTGAACCGGGTTGGTGGACAAGGAGAGTCCACCTAGGGTAGTTGGAAAACCCTGATTCCAAATCAATGGTGCACATGGGCTCTAGTATCCTGAGGGAACAAATGGTGTATGAACCAATCGTTGGTCACTGGCTGCCATAGGACTGCATCTCCTGACGTTGCTCCACTGCCTTGTGGATCAGATCTTTAGGTCAAAAGCTCCGGGTGTGTCTCCCTAAGAAAACCACCTGGTTCGATTTGGGCACCCGGACAGTTTCACAGCCCTCACACAAATTGAGTGATTTATGTGGTGTATATCTATTTAGTGCTTCCTTGTACAAATGTTTATGTGTTTAAGTAATAAATAACAATAATAATGTCTATCATATCATTTGGTTTTATTAGTTAGAATGTTCAATGTGGAGCTGCTAAGCCAAGTTACAGAGACTCTATACTACTACTACATTGTTTTGATTGTCGAGTAGTTTACAAAATTGGATCAGTTAATAATTTTGAAAGCTGTTTTAGATAATCATGTTTCTTGTATAAACATTGTAACTTAATTTCATTCGCCCACGTTGATAATTCAATTCATTTGATATTGTCGTTGAGAATAATCATCTTTTTGTGTTTGATTGTGAATAGTGTTATCATTTAACGTCCAAATAGTCTGTTGAATTTAACCTCTTCAACTTTGTATAATATAGTGGTGAAATGTTTCCGAAAAAGAGTTTGTAATGGATACATATTTGAACGTTCGAATTACTTCTCAATTCCTTGTGTATAGTTTGCAAATAAATCCCAACAAGTACAAAACGTAGGTCATAGTCTACAGAAATCTCATTGAAAACCTTTCGTGATTTGTGACGTTATAAGAGAATAGGCAAGTAGCACCATCGTACACATTTAATTGCTGTTGAGAAAAAGGGATTAGAACTATAGAAAGATGAAAAGTTGTACGTTTTGATTTTGAACGTAAATTATTTTGAAAGATTTCCTTGAGGTAATGTGCTCAAAGTTGATGAGTTACTCCTGCATTAAAATCCATGTTGGATAATCTTCTGAATGTCTATTATTATCTTTTGAATTATATCTACACATAAACACCGTTCTTTTTTTATTTGGTTCAGGCTCGTTTATGGGGTTCGGATTGTCAAGCACCAGCAGGTTTAATTCCTAGTCCAGAACTTCAAGAATGGCGTATGGCAAATAAGGCAGCTGAATTATCACGTGAAATGGGTATTACACATTGTGGTGCATGGTTTAAACGTCGTAAACGTCATTTTAAAGATAAATACAAAAATAAACATTCAGCTATTTATGATCAATTAGATTTAGTTACTTATGAAGAAGTTGTCAGATTACCACAATTTCGTCGTAGAACATTAGTATTACTTGGTGCACATGGTGTTGGACGACGTCATATTAAAAATTGTTTAATTCAATCATCACCGGATAAATTTGCATATCCTATTCCTCGTGAGTTATAAATACATAATGATAGAAGTTAATCGTATTTTATAATTTTTCATAGACTAATTGTTTACTGAATAAAATGATTGAGAACAACAACCCAATAATAATTAATGGCGAAACTGTGGAAGATGTAGATTCCTTCACGTACCTGGGAAGCATCATCGATGAACAAGGAAGATCAGATGCAGACGTATAGGCAAGGATTTGCAAAGCAAGGGCCGCATCCCTACAATTAAAGAACATATGGAACTCAAAGCAACTATCAACCAATATCAAAGTGATAATCTTCAATACGAACGTCAAGGCAGTCCTACTGTACGGAGCTGAAAATTGGAGAACTACTACAACCATATTCAAGAATGTACAAGTATTTATAAATAGATGTCTACGCAGGATACTCAACATCCATTGGCCGGATACCATCAACAACAGCCTACTGCAGGATAGAACAATTAAGCTTCCAACTGAAGAAGAAATTAGGAAAAGACGATGGAAATGGATAGGACATACATTACGCAAATTATCAAACTACATCATGAGGTAAGCGTTAACTTGGAATCGTGAGGGGAAGCGGAAAAGAGGAAGTCCAAAGGACACATTACGTCGGAAAATTGAAGCTAATATGAAAATGATGAATAACAACTGGAAAGGGCTAGAAAGGTTTGCCCAGGACAGGGTTGGAGGGAGAGTGCTGTTTGGCGGCCTATGCTCCTCCACAAGGAGTAATAGGCTTAAGTAAGTAAGAACGTAACTATAAAACTGTACATTTTTACTATAACACTCTGAAAAATACTTTCCATTGCAATCGTTACTCTTTTAAAAATGTTCTATGTTAGAAAAGTTTCGCCTTCGTTGTTAATCAATTGAAAGGTTTACGAATTCACCTCTAAAATTCATAGATTTATCACGAATTAATAGATTTGAGTGATGATGAAAATTCCGATCGATCAAGCTTTAATCTGTTTAATCGCCTTCAAACTAAATCATTGGGACTAATCATACTGTTTTATTGCCCGAAACGATGTAGATAGAGTTGAGTCTAACCTGACACTTATTGTTTGTAAGTCGGCTGCTTTGATTATTATTCCTTTCAATGGAGGAATACGAATGAGGATAATATGAGGCTGACGACCTCGCTAGGGATTAAACCCAAAATCCGCAAATTTTTGTCATTATTAGATCATTGAGTCGACAAGCAGAGATTCAGTGTTTTCAGTTTTAATCAGTTGACTTTTCTGAAACAAGATCATCCATCGCCATTGATGAAACAAGCTATTACTGAAGTTACATTGCAGTACACTACATTACTGAAGTTACATTACAGTCGATCGAAAACTAACCTCCATTATCTGCAACCACAGTATTAAAGTTTTAAAACCTAATCAATCATTATATTAAAGTTATATGGTGGCGAGTTTCATTCTATATACGACTCACCAGATGGATATATGTATATTAAATTGATGATGTTTTACTCAGATTCAAACCTTCGCTTTAAATGTCAACATATTGTCTACTGATCTACTAAATCTAAATATTAAACAATTGTTGTAAGTATCCAAGATGAGGTTCGTACTACTGATAATAATCTAATCATAATTTTAGTAAAACGTATAAGTGAATTTGTTTTGTAATATTATGATGCAAATTACATGGTTTGGGCGCACGCAACTATTACAACCAATGGTTGGAGATTCTATGTGACATGGCTCAGAAATGATCACAATCGTGTAGGTGCACACACTCTTTGTCTTCCCTTAAACTATGACATTGAAATTACTTCATATCTTTCTGTCTATGAACTAATTCTTTCTCCCTGTCTCATATCGTGATACACAACCTTTCTTTTATATATATCACTATCATTGATGTAACTGCTTCGATGAATTTTCCGATCATTTTGTTGTGCTAATGAGGTATGGCAACTTGGATCGATGCATATATGTGCCTGATCCTACATTATACATGGCTGACTGTAATATTATAAACTTTGAGTGCAAGTGCATCCACTCCTTGTGTTCTCTCAAATTTTAATCTTCTGAATTCTTCATGTCCTTTTATTTTTTTTCTTTTTCCACATTTATTTCATTGGATTATAGTCCTTGAATAACATCTGCAAACGCGTATGTTTCCGATTACTGCTTATACATTTGCTACCTCTACCGCTATGTGATTTGGATCGACAATTGTATCTCTGTGCTAATGTGGTATGGCAACTTGAACTGATGTATGTACGTAAGAAGTTCTACGTGATTGCTGACTAACTGACTGCCTAACTCCTTAACAACATGATTAATACTTCATATAGATATTGGAGAATTGTCATTTGTTCTTTTAAAACAAATCGCCGATAAAATATTTTCATATTTATTTTACAATTAGATACAACTCGTACACCACGTAAAGATGAAGTGAATGGAAAAAATTATTACTTTATTTCACATGATGAAATGATACGTGATATTGCTAATAATGAATACTTAGAATATGGTTCACATGAAGGAGCAATGTATGGTACAAAATTGGATACAATAAGACAAATACATGCAACTAGTTTAATTGCCATATTGGATGTTGAACCACAAGCATTGAAAATATTACGTACTGCTGAATTTGCTCCATGTATTGTATTCATTGCAGCTCCAACTCTCACTAATATCACTAATGGACAGAATAATAATAATAATAATAACAATAATAATAATAATAATAATAACAATAATGGTAATGATAATGTGAGTTGCGTAATATCATTTTTACAAACGGATTTATAACTTTTTCAGTTATACCTTCCTTCTTTAAAACTCAGCACTGAATTTTTAATGTTTTCATTAACGATCAATCTGTTCAGGATTCTTGTAATTTTTCGAGATCATGAATCGACCAATATTATACCACAATTGGTAACGTGGAAGCATTGGGTGACCGTTTCTTCCTAGTATGGGTCACCTCAGTAATGCACACCTACTATATCGCACACGGGATTCGAAATCAGAACCTTTGGCTTCACTCAAACATCGAACGGTTCATGATCACAAAAATAATCAGCTGTCTCCATAAATGTATACTGATTTCTACCAGTGAAAAATTGTAATGCTATTACACTGTAATTAGGCTCCAATTCATTTCATTCATTTCTATTTGGGTAATCTTTGACCTTTTGTGTAGACGAGGCGAGAGAGGTGGGATACTTAGAAATAGTTAATTTATATGTGTGAAGAAAGACGCTGAACATGCTTCCATATTGACAGCGATTATTTATTCACAATCGTGTTTGCCTTTAACCTGATACCGGACAATCAAAATGACTGCACAACTAATAACATCACGTGGAATGAAAACAGTCTATTCAATGTAATATGGGCACAATAAGATTTTTGTTAATAGTGGAGGAATTCTGAAAGCCCTTTTTTTTAAAAAGTATAAACTGATAAGGATATTGTTCAAAAAGGCAGTGCGAAATTTAAAGTTAAACCGCTCAAATCAAAAAGTGCACTAAAATTCCGATTGTAGTGAACGAGAACAAAAAATGGCATAACCGAATGTATTTGAACACAAAATTACAGAGCATCAAAATAAGATCTGAGAAGCATACAGTAAATACTTTATTTGCAAAGTGTCAGTCAATCGTCTCCGACTTGATTGTTCCTTCGTTTCCACACCAATCATTTTTTGTTCTCGTTTTCTTTCCTTTGATCTTCTTAACCTTCTGTTGCCAGACATTTCACTTTTGATGGATGATACATACTACTGATATCTGTTGACATCAGTAGCATACATCACATTATCATAAGCTACAAATCCGTGTAATTATCTTATAAATATTAATTTACTTGGTATTGTTTTACTCGAATCTTACCATTGATGTTTAAGACCGAAATTGACCAGTCTCTTATTGGCATATGTGCATACTGTGCGTATTGCTTCGATATTTCCTTAATTTACAAGCATTATGAGCAAAGATGGATGGTGGATAGCAGTAGAACCCAAGACGCGCGTTTTAGAAAATAATAATAATAATAATAATAATAATAATAATAATAATAATGATAATAATAATAATAATAGAGAACATGATCCGACTGGTGTTAGATCACCATTAAAAACTTTGGAAAACTGGATGTCGTTTCGTCCTATTGTGGGACTCCTCAGGAGTACGCACCCACGATCACGCTGGTGGGATAAGAAACTAGGGCCTTCGGTCTCGCACTCGAACATTTAACCTCTAGACTACTGAAGCAGTGGCCTTACATCAATCAGTTCATGATCTCAATCAAAAACATATTAATCTCCACAACCCCATAATGATAATAATAATAATAATAATAATAGACATTGATTTTCCCTTAGAAACATTTAAGCTTTTAATTTGTTCATTTTTTCTCTCCATAGGATGAAAGTCTCGAAAGATTAACACGTGATAGCGCATTATTAGAACAACATTATAGTCATTTTTTCGACTTAAAAATTATTAACAATGATATTGAAGAAACAATTACTCAACTTAAACGTGTAATCGATGACTTTCAAATTACTCCACAATGGATACCAGTTACATGGGTCTATTAAGTATGATTCATTTAATCATGATTATACAATGTTGTGAATAATGTTACAATTGGATGAATTGGTTTTGTTTCTTTCAACTTCTCATTGTTCTTATTATCAATTGGATGGTTACTTTGCATAGAATGTGCTTTCTTCTATTTAAATTCTTCTTTTCTCTCTCTCCCCCCCTCTCTGTGTGTGTGTGTGTGCATCTATTCAGTTACATCTTGTTTTCCTAACCTTTTAACCTTTACCTTTGCTACTATTCTTTCATAGTATCTCTGTTCTTTCCCAACCCCCAACCCCTTATTCAAATTTTAGTTTTTTTCTTAACTACGTAATTCTGATTCTTCATCTTATTCATATCATTATCTTTCTTGTTTATTCATGTTGAAAATCAAAGGAAATGTTTTCATTTTGTAGAGATGATCAAACAGAAAACTTCCCCTAGTCAATTATCACTTCTAATTCATCATCGTTATTCTATTGCATTTCTCTGTATATAATATAGTAGTCATCTAAAAGATGCCATTGCTTCTTTTTACTTTTGTTGTTGGTATATTGGTTATTTACTTACTAAATCAGTATTAAGTAGTATTGAAATCTTTTGTCTCACAGTTTACTTC